TTTGATAAATGCTGTGCTATAAAGACATTGCTATTTTCCTCACAAATTTGTCTTTTTTCTTTTCCTATAAAGACTCCCTCTGCCCTGTCATCACTGTCAGTCCAAGCCTGAACTGACTAAGACAGGAGAAGAAAGACAGAGAATCATTTCCTGATTCCAGGCTCTCTTCTTTCCCTGTACCCCACTTTCAAAATAAATGAAGGTTAACACAATTATGTAAAAGTAACTATGTCAGTGGCTACAAATACTTTAGAGAAGTAAAAATGAGGAGTTTTTCCAAGATGTTTTGCAGCTGGATTACATTATTGTATCAGACTTGACCCTTCCAGAGTAATTTCCTACTCAATACAAACAAAAAAAAATTACGACTAGTTTGTAATGTCCGCATAGTGTTTTTGAAAGAGTATTATTAAGGAAACCTCTGACAAATAAAGTAGCTTATGGTAATCAATTTGAATATGAAAATGAAACTAATTCAGTAAAACATTGCTACTGCTGATCTGGCAAACCACTGGTAGCCATCTGTCTAATCCTTCTTGTGTTCAGAAGTTGCATTTAAAAAAAAATATTATTAATAGTGCTCATTAGCTGCCAAGCAAATGGGCATGCCACAAGCTTCTGCTCAGAGATTAGCTAATAATAGCAAATACTACTTGCTTTTCCAAGTTTGAGCTACAGCCTGCTGTGTGATATCATGGTCAGGATAAGTTTTTCTGCTGGGCCCCACAAGGATGGGGAGGGACTGTAAATCATGGGTCCAAGGAGAGGTGCAACACCCTGTTGGTGCAAATTGTCTTCCTACAGCCCTTCAGCACCAACAGCTCCTCAATCTTGCCAATTGACAATCTATTCCAGTGCTGCACTATCCTTACTGTTAGGAAGTTTTTTTAACATCTAAAGTGAATTTCCCTTGGTGCAATTTAAGTCCATTACTTCTGGTTCTGTTAATGCACATGGAATACAGTTTGCTCCTTTCTTCTATGCAGCAGCTTTTATGTATTTGAAGACTGTTGTTATGACCCCACTCAGTCTGGTCTTCTTAAAGCTAAACAATTTGTCCGACATGTATAAGGCCTGATTTTTGAAAGTGTTTAGTTCCTGCCATTCCCATTGCTTTTATTCAGGTGATTGAGAATGAAAGAATATCAGACGAGTTGATGATCAAGCCGTATTGTCTGGTGCCCTTTAAATACTGATAGGTATGAAGGGCACAAATGCTGTTTATGGCTGTATATGTGTATTCTTGTCTTCACAATAAAACTGTATTTATGGGACTTGTGACTAGTCTTCTTACTGCATCCACAGGGCAAAAGCAGCTTCACAAAAAGAGGAGATTTTAGTGGAAACTTGGCCAGGCTTTGCTAAATCATTTGGAGTAAATAATTTTCTGGTTTTCATGCAAAACCAGTTGGGGTTTTTTGTTTGTTTAAATGATTTACATAGCTACTGTCAAACAGTGTTCGTGTTTCTTTTTTAACTACTGGCTGTTATCAGAAAATATACTTAAGAAATGTGAACTGAAATCTTTTTCCATCCCAAAACAGAGGAGACTGAGGTTTCTTCCTGCAATGGACTTCTCATCAGGATTTTTGTGCTTGGAGTACTGGAGCAGAGTTCCATTTGGCTTCACTTGAAGGGATATTTTTATAGTGAATGCACTAGAAAATATGACACTATCTATCTTCTTGCTTTGGTGTTTGGTGGCTAGAAATAAATTCTGCTATTCCTGTTCTTTGTCTTTCGATTTCCATTGTAAACAGGGCTTCCTTTTTGTCCATGTAGGCCCTCATGAAATCTCTCCTTTGTGTTATTGGAGGCTTTTAGTACAATTGTAATGCAAGCAATAATAGTTCCTTGTATTGATTCTCAAATGTAGGGTTATGTATTCTGCCTTTCTGGAGAAAAGAGTTTTTGAAATGTCTTGTTTTGTTCTCTTAGACCCTCTCTCCTAACCTTGAAAATAATTTCCTCAGACAAATATAGAGGACATTTACAATTATAAAGTAAAAATAGCCACTCTAATTTTGGGCTACCTGTCATTGCCCTTTTTGTGAGAAAAAAAAATCATAGAAGTAGAAGAGAGTGAGATAAAAAAAACAGGCTTTAGAGGTATTTCTGTGTATGGCTTTTTTGTATCCAACCATGTCCTTTATTCTTATTCAGAAGATTTCATCAAACTGCTTGAAATATGTCTAATTGTGATGGAAATTAAAATACACAGGGACCATAGAGTATGAATACACATCTCTCCTAGTCTTGTTCTGAAATGGTAAGCAAAAATAGCACTGAATTTCGCCATTGACAGTTAAGCTGAAGTAGTGTCCTATGGTATATATACAATAATAGGTAATACTGTGCAAAAGATGGAAATACACAATCATACCAATAGTTTTATACCTGTTTAGCTGTAAAAACCTACATTTAATTAACCTGTCATCTATCTTCCCCTCCTCCGCACACTTGATAATTCATATACGCAATGTGTTCTTTTCTTTGTACGTTGCTCACTCAAAAACCCTGCCCTTCTCCTCCTTCCAGACACACGCTAAATCTTCCAGTGCTCAACCAATGGATAGAAATATTAAATTACAATCTTTATGGTTTACAATGATTGAAAGATATCCTGTTATTAGGGCCTGCCTGAGTTTGGTGGACACAAACCCAGCCATTGCTGCTCTAAGAGTGCAGTAAATTTCATAGGCCATCCCCTTTCCCTGTCACACAAAGTAAAGGCACTAGCAAGGTCTTTGAGAACTAGTAACAACAAAACATTAAGATGGCCAATGGGTCCCTTAAGACAAAAAGAAAAATAATTAGATTGCACATTGCTGGTTGGGGAGAAAGATAAATCACAGAATATTCTTTTGGTATACAGCATAAAGCTACATGGTTTTACTTTTTGATTGGTTTCAGGAGTAAGCATCAGCAACCTCAGCAAGAAAGCACATATCCTCATTACTTGGTTGATGGATTAACTCTTTATGAGAAGTGAGAATATTTTCTCAGCAAAGAAGCTTTTAAGTTTGTGCACATCATCCAGTGTCTTGAGAGTTAGTCCTGAAGGTCTGAGAGTTGTGCAGTCAGGCACAAGACAGAGTACACTCCAGCTCATTGCATCTCAGTATCCAGGTTCAACAGTCAGTGCTGGTGCTGAAGCCAAGGACTGCCCTGATCCTATTTCTATCATCTGAAGCATTTCCTCTACCAAATGTAGCCTTTGGATTAAATCCCAAATACCTACACTTTTTTCACTTCAGTAAAAGAAACCAGTTGAGAATGTTGGGAGTGAGTAACAACCTTTATCCTGATCACAACCCAACAGTCCCACACACACTGAGATGTATCATACGGAGATACCAAATTTCTCAGTGAGCAACACCTTAGCAAAAAACTGTCTTTTGGTTAAATCATTCATAAATAGCTTAATTCTTTTGGTTTGAGACATCACCAGAATCCCTTAATAAAATTACAATTCAAGGAGGCTAATTTGTGCTCTAATTATATGTCGGTCTGTGCGTAAATGTTTCTGGATGGTGAAAAATTTTCTTCAGGCAATCTTTTATTCTGCTTATTGTATTTACCTAACAAAGAAAAGTCAGCTTTTACTGTAATTTCTCATAACAGAGTTCAGTTGTAATGCTACATAGTTAAGGGCAAACATATGCAGACATTTTTGATGTATTTTGATGCCAATCTTTAACAAGAGCAAGGATTATTAAATGTGGAAGAACCAGGCCAAAAGGCTATGTGCTGCTGAAAAAGTTTGAAGGCTCTTCAGTTGGAATGCCATTGGTAGACCAGCAGCCAGGCAGTCTACGGAAATTCAGAGAAATATTTTCTCACCCATAAAGGAAGTCCCCATGGGAATCCTTTTACCTGTGTCACTTGAAATGAGACATTCTTGATTTGGTTTTGGTGGTTCTGTCACAGAATGAAAGCCTCACAATGTGAGAGATTCATTTTCACCTAACTGAGGCTTTCTAAGCAGAGAAGTACTTTAGGAAAGCAACTAAGTCCTTCGTCCTTCAAAGTTATGAATTACCTTTGTAAAAGGTGTGGTTTTGTTTCTTCTGCTACCTAAACTAGACACTCTGCTAAAGCTGGTAACCAGCAAAGTACTCATAGTTTGTCAGAGGAATTCAGTCTAAACAAACTTATCAACAAACTAAATAAACGAGCTATCAAACCAAATAGAATATATCTTCAATATATCTCTGTTTCTAATGTTTGTGTTAACAGGAACTTTTCCCTGTAGATAACTCCTGAGTCAAATTTTAAGCTAGTATAAATAAGTATCAGTTCTCATTTTGTTGAATCTGTCCTGGCACATAATGCAGATGTTGGTTGTGGCACTGGAAGGAAACATCTGTGCCATCAACTATCTGCGGGATAAACAGAAACCGCAGGTAGAAGGAGCTGCAGTTAATATGAATGCGAATAAGAAGGATTGAAAATAGTATTCTTATTGTTTGGATAATGGCTTCCTGTGCACACCATAAAGGTTTTACAAAAATCAAATCAACAATTTATAGAATTATAAGCCATTGTAGACTCTTATGCCATCTCAGCTTTCCCTGAGACTTCTGGCTTAGCCTCTGTCAGAGAGAGGAAACAAGAGGAGATGAGCTGGTGGTCTCATCCGTTAGAGTAGTTCTCATGTCCTTCCTTCCAGGGCTGACTGCCTCCCCTGTTCCCAGATGGACCAGCCTGCATCCTGCTTTCCCAGCTCTGCAGTGCTTGGGGTCCGTCACTGGGAAGCACAAAAAGGAACATTATACAGGGACAGAAACCAGGAGGAATGTGTGTGTGTGGTATTTACAAGTGTCAACTCATGAGTGCACTGCAGTTCAGTGAACTTTAGTGGAACTATAGAGTCAAGCTAAACAAGAAAAAACCCACACTTGCCAAGACATTTTGATCTGAGAAAAAGTGTGGAGTAGATCAGAATGCACTGACAAAATATTGATTTCATATGTATCTTTTCTTCTCTTTTCTTCTAGAAAAAGTAAGCATACTGTCAACCTTTATAGCACCCTTCAAGTACCTGAGTCCTGGCACAACCACCATGGAGGATGAAGACAATTTAAGTAAGAAGTCTCTTTTCTCTATAGACAGATTAAAAAAAAAAAAAAGGAAAAGGAAAAAAAAAAAAAAAAAAAAAAACAACAGCCAAACCCTAAAAAATTAATTAAAAAAAAAAACACCAGAAATCAAATCCAACTGAGATGAGGTGGTTAACTAGGCTTAAATAAACTATATGTAACCCCAGAACTAGTCAATGGATTCTCTTGGTCCCTTACACCTGGACAAAGTCACCAACACTCCCTGAATCTGTGACTGCATAGCTGGAGGAAAGTGCTGCTGGGTTGAAGGAGCACTAAAGTCTTCAAAACACCAAGAAGTCTGGGAGTGTGCAGTTAGGACTGAATAACCCCCAGTAAACTACCTCGTTTATCACCCAGAAGCAATTATTGGGTGCTACCCATCCCTGCTTCTTGTAATGCATCCTGAAATGGTAAAAAAGGGGAGGGAAGCTTTCTGAACCAGATGAGCAACTCCGGGTTTCAGTATCACCTACCAGATGGGCTTCCTTTCCAGCCACACACACACTGACATGTTGCCCCTATTACAGCCGGTTGGTGAGAGGAATGTTTGGTTGTTTATTTTTTTCCCCTGACATTGTTAATCTTTCTTGGTTTAATCATGATGGGGCACCAAGGAAAATAGCTGTTGAAGGAGTGTAGGAACACAGCCCTCTATCTCCTGCCTCCGAGCATCACATGGACATCACACTTTTCTGCTGCACAGGGCTTTTGCAGTTCTAAGCAAAGGCAAAAAAAAATCCTGAAAACCCATCAAAACTGGTCTCAGGGAGGCTACATTTTCAGGGAGATATGACAAGTACACACAGAAAACGTATTATGCACGAGCTTATGCAGGCACCTCCTGCGTAATGTTTCCCAAAAGTGTTACTTAGTTATTTTTAGGTAATGTAGGAAGTTTGTACAAGCCAAACACTGTAACACCAGTTTCTTATTGCTACTGTAATGCCAAGACTGCTTCGTGCCTGCGCAAGCTTTAAAATAGCTCACATGGGCAGGGTTACGCTATGTTTTCTGAAAGAGAAATAGCAAATTTCACTGTTCTTGAGGTCATCCTGCCTAGCCCTCTCTTGGGTCAAACATACACTCCAGTGATAAAGCAGCAATTCGTTTCTTGGCACATACAACATATTTTAGGTGTTACTATAAGAATCTTTAAAAAAAGGAAAAAAAAATCATTTAAAAGCAGCCATATTTCAGTGTTCACTTGTAGTATAATGGTATAAATCCCACTAATGTCTACAGAATGTACCTGTGTTTGGCATTTTAAAGAGCTCCAATGATTTGCTCTTGAACAAACAGAGGAACCTTCTTCTGTGTTAACAGTTTAACAAAAGCCTAAGAGAATGCTGGCCAGGCAGAGAAGTGGTTTACTTATCCCTGTAGTTTTCTGCTCACTGAGCATCCTGTGAGAGTGCCCCTACCCAGACTGTGTTGTATTGAGAGGCAGAGTCCCACTAGCTGAAATTGGCACAAATCCTGTTTTACATTCTTTTAGCCATTCTTCATAAAGGGACCCATGCCAGGTTAACTACATATGCATTTTCAGCTGGTGATTATTAGCATATAGACCCTATTATTGTGGTTTATGATCCATGAACTAATGGTAGAAAAGTATATCACAGGCACTATGCACCTTTGGAATGGAATTTTGGGTGATTGCCAGTGTCTGATGAAGACCTTATTTTCAACATGCAAGAAAAGAACCACTGTATTCATTACCAGAAGTCAGCTGTAGCTGAGAATGTGAGGAATGTCACAGAAGATTAGAAACAGGAAGTTTAACTCTTTACAGTTCTCAACATTTGCTGTTAGTGACACGTTGAGAAAAAGGACATTTAAATGGGGGTCCTCCCCATGGTGTATCTGCCTACCACCCAGCAAAAATTTTACTCAGCTAGTTTGCACCTGAATCTTCGTATTTCTTAGACATCAACAGACCTGTCTAGTCATCTCTGGAGCCCACTGATGCTTCTGATCGCAACAACAGCCAGGAGCAGGGAGTGATTTAGTGTGATGTCAAAAAGTGCACCCTTTTATTGCTTCAAGCCTGCTGTCTCTGGTGCTTGGATTGCATGAAACTGAATAATCATTCCTTGTTCACTGCCTGCTTGCCTACATTTCTTGATGTTACAGACCTCTACATGTCCCTGATCATTAATCGTTCCATCCACACTATACCAAGGCAGACTATTACTAGACAAAGATACTTGCAAATCTGGGGGGTACCTCTGGCAGGAGTGTATGATGCATGGAGATCTCATTATGCAATGTTGCCATATGTACAGACTTGGTGCAGCACTCTTCTGCAGGTGTATATCTCTCCCCAGCATCAGCACAGGGAGCTGATAGTGATGGTCCCTAACATATTTCAGCCACTGCAACAGTCTTGTAGGATGACTCCCAGCCCCAGATTCAGTGTATTGAAGCATGTACAGTTGTAAGCATATCGGTCAAATTCCTCCTCAGGCAGCATGAGGCCCCAGAGCTTTTGATTGCAGTGTAATACAGCAGGGACTCTGCCTCTAAGAAGACAATGGCTATCCCCTTCCAGCAGTCAGAGCTGCAAGCAATCCCCCACAGAATCAGACCCCCTGTTTTGGTTTGAGAACTGTGCCTATTGCATCATTTTGATTGTTCCCGTGCCTAAAGCTAAGCTATAGTCTTGTCCTGATTCAGGGAGTCATGGACTTAGATCTGTTTCTGCCATGGGCTGCCCATGGTTCTTGCTGCACGCACTTATTTCCTAACTTGAACAGAGAGCATCGGAGTCTGAGTATTACCTAAATCAGATCATTAGGTCATTTGAATAATTCCCCTAGTTGGTAAGTGCTGTACTAGATGTGCATGGATTTTACGGTTATTTCAAATAATAAAATGGGCAAAGCAGAGTATCTTCATTGCAGAACAGCTAGAGGCAATGGCAATCACCTTTCACAGATTTTCAGTCTTCAGTCTGTAAATAAAAAGTCCTGTACTTTTCTTGCACTGGTAGTGCTTCCTTGCACAGTGTGGTGTTACAAACCAATAAAGTCTAACAATACTGTTTTAAACAGCCTGAACCCTTTGAGCTGGTGGGGGGGGTTCAGCAGCAGCAGAGAGATCATGGCAGGTTTACCTTAAGTAGACTTCTTTCATGAAGGTTTATAATACATATCTGTGTGCTTTCATGTAAGAAAGAAAGGATTGATTTTTTGCTAGCTACAAGTTTATTATTCTAAAGTCAAGAATACAAAACTAAAAATCCCAGCAGAAGTTTCCAGTGCTTCATTGTGGATTCAATAAGTGCATGAAAATACCATCCTGATTGCAAGAGGAGACTGCCCAACATTGTATTTGATGTAACAGCTGACCTTGGTCAACAGTACTATGGCTCTGGCTCCTGGGTTCATACCTATCACTTCTAATTTAAAATTTTTCACTTTCAAGTTTCCCAGGAATTATGGAGGTCAGTCCTAACCGCTGCAGTCAAGGTGATGTAGATGGACAGCAAAAATGTACTCCACATAAGCAGGTCAAACGGGCTAGATTTTAAAACACAGAAAAATAAAAATTAAGTCCAACCTTTATGCTGAGAGTGTGTTGTAGCAATCTTGTGTTTACTAAAAACAGACAGCAGCTTCCTGTGTCAGAGCTATCAGTTGAACCAGAAGTTTGCTATGCTACAGAGATTGCAAATTCTTTCTTTCAGTATCATAGCTTTCCAGTAATGTACTGCCACTTGTAATTCAATAGTAAAGATGCCAGCCAAAATTGTGATGCCACCTACCACCACTCCTTTCCCATCCTCCCTGGAAATTGGCTTGGCAGCAGAATAACCTTCAACAGGAACAATATTATCTCTTCAAATGTAGCGTGGAGTATCAGATGGCTAGTTTTGCAGAGCCCTCATGACCCAGAGACATAGGCAATGTCATTATTAGTGATGCATTATAGTTCTGAAAAGCTCTTGATAATGCAGACTTCCTAGGCTAACTCTACTGTGCATAATAACCAAAAGGATAAAAACATGAAAGAGCAGACAAAAGACTGAGGAATAGTGCATAAATAAATATATTTCACTAACTGCTTTCCTCTCTCCCATTCAATTATTGAAACAAATAAGAGATTGCAGTGTCTCCTCTTGCTTGTGAAACTGCAAAAATCAGTGAATAAAGTTTCCTGAGGAGCTATTGCTGTGCAGAGTTGTGGGGCTTTTTTAGAAATCTTACACAATAAATTAGAAACTATTGCCAAAAAATTACAATCTTTTTCTTTCTTTTTTTTTTTTAACTCCCTCCCCTTACAATTTTATTATTTTCCCACCTTTCATCATAGGAGAACCTTTTTTTTTTTTTTCCAAAATGTAGACAATGTGTTTTGGGAACTCAAGAGCAAAGACATTAAGAGAGATAACAGGACTAAAAATGATCCACAGTTTTGCATTTTCCCTGTGTACATCCTCCGACTTACCCCTTTCCTTTTAGTGCTCTTCATTTCTAAAATTGCTTGTGATTGTTCTATTACAGCTGCTTACAGTATTTATCTTATGTGGTTTGGTGTCATTTGCCTGCTTTGTCTGATTTTCACAATAGAAGTACATGTGCCACCATTAGAGAAGTAATCTTATGTCTGCTACACTGAGGGCTCATAAAAGACACATTTCAAAGACCTCCTATTTCAAAGATACCTGAAAGTATAAAGTAATTTCACTTCGTCCAGCGGCTGCCAGGTATCTATCACACAAGTCCATCAGGCTCCCAGGCTTTCTGCGGCACTCACTGAATTTAGGCTGCCTCTGATTTACATGCCATGATGACTTCTGGCGTACTGCAGCTCTCACTGGGGTCTGTGAAGAACTGAGCTATTTCCTGGTGTTTCAGGATCAGGTCCTCCAGAAATCTGGTTGACTGTAAGGATACTTACATGTATTTCTGTAATTGTGACTAGGCCAAAACATACCATTAATATCAGCATATCCCTTGTGCCTCATCTCTGGCAGTTTTGCACTCCATCTCTGCATTTTTTTTCACTACAACAGTGTAAACTCCCTGTTGGCCAAAACCTGGACTAGGCAATTTCACAGACAGAATTTAAAACAAACGAGTAATGTTTACTTTATGTTGCCATGTTTTTAGTTAGCCACTGTTTTAGTGGAGTGATTAAGGTAAGCTGGTAAGGTCACACATTCATGTTCACAAATCTGCAGTTCTCCGAGTATGAAACTAAAAACACCTGGAATAAGAAAATATGAATTATAAATACAAATAACCTCTCGAGTTTTCCTATTCAGTGGTGCATAATCAATACAAATTCTTTTCGAACCTAAATATTGTGAGAAGCAAGAGCTATCTTTCTTTTCATGCTTCCTGACTACAATATCATTATGTACCATAATTGGCTCTGTAAAAACCTATTAGGTAAGATGAGCAAGGAGGTGTGAAATACAGAACCAAACCTGCTTCCTGCTAAAAAGTGTGTCTGAGTCAAATTATTTCACCTTTATTTAAAAAAAATGCACACAACTGGGATGGGGATGGAAACATGGATTCTGGCTGGGATGGAAACATGAAAAAGGGTCACATTGGAAAATTGCTCGCCAAAGCCACTGCCACGCTAAATAGAGGAAAGCTAAAGTTGGCACCTCTTTCCCCCTCTGATCAAAGTTTCCATAAACAGAGGTGTGAACTCAATAAGAATGGACCATATTATCCTTGTGTCTTAGTTAACCTGACCTTTTAAATGTCTTATTTCCAGCGAGGCTGGTTTAAAGATGTCATACTTTATACAGCTGAATGCCCTATAATGAAAGTTTTTTTTTCTTTTATGTATTTCTTTTTCTTTCCTTCCTCTCCTGTCTTCATTCTCTCCCCTTAGCTCAGAAACTAAAATTTAACTAGTCAGCAGGCACTAAGACCTTAACTAGGGCACTAAGGCACATTAACTAGCACAGGCACTAGGACCTTCATTTGTCAGTTTGTGTTCTGCCTCAGCAAAACACCACAGCACAGAGGTCTGCAAGTAACTTTGGTGAGACAGAGACACAGGCTGGAAGCTCAGTGTGTTCTGAAGCATTTTCAGGAAAAGGAGCCTAAAAACCTCAGTCCTCAGGGCCCCCACACATGCAATTGAGCCATGATTTTTACTCATATCTAATCAGTGAGTTGCTTTCTGTGGAACATCTTGCACAAGTGCAGATTTACTGCTTTGATGGAAAAAAGTCTTTTGGTATTTTATACAAGTGCAACTCATCAGGATATAAAGGAGGTTTTTAATTATGATGGTTGGTTCCACATAATTCTCTGGAGGCCCCTGTGCATCTGCCAGCCCAGCCTATGCGTGGTTTCAGCAAAGACACACCACTCCAGCAGAAGCTCCTTGAGGCGTAGCAAGAAGCTTACCCCTTACAGCCTTGCAGACAGTTTGTACATCAGATTATAGAGGAAATCAAATATAGCTATGGCCCCACAAAAAGTCAGAGTGCTGTTCTCTGTTCTCTAAGGACCACAGGGACCTTCTCTGTGCTTGGGACTCAGGGAGTCTGCACTGGTGGCAGGCTTGTGTCTGACAATAACGAACCACAGGATAGGCTGTCACAGGATAGGATCAGTGCTGGTTGGAATACAGCAGGCAGCCAGACAGTGCTCTGCTCAGAAAGGAATCAGGTGCATCATTCCGGGGATGGATTGCTTCACAGGTTGGTTGCACTCATGTGTACTTCCTCAACTAGTCTCTGCCCCAAGGTACACACAAGAGGACTAGAGGTTGTAGTACGTTTAAACAAACTCATCAGAAATGACAGATATGTCACCGGATGCTTCTTTAGGCAACAGAATGTTTTCTGTCTCGTTCAGGACATCAGTGAGATGAATCTCTGTTCTCAGTCACTCATCCGCTGTAGCAAAGAGCATTGCCTTACAGCATGGGTGTTGCACAAGCGTAGTTCACAGCAGTGTGTGATCCATTGGCTCAACAACAATGGAGTGCTTTCTCAATGGCTCCCTACTGTTATTTCATTCCCTTCCTGGCCCTCCTGGCATTCACTCTCTCCCATTTCTTTTCTTTGACATAGGTCATTCTATACATCAGCAATCAGTCTCACCATGATGTTCTGCCTTTCCCTAGTCTCATTTGGATTTATCTAGAATTTCTGCAATATTTGTTGTTGCTGATGCAGGAGCTGAGTGTATCTGCAATTGAATTTGAAAGACACTCACTTAATAAACTAGAATCTAAGTAAAGACCATATTATTGTTTCAAATGCTAAGGAGGTCTGTCAGATTATTTCTTAGACTCTATTAGTGATGTTTACAATATAAGAGTCTATGCTGTGAGTAGAGCCAGTCAGTGTGCTCATTGCGAATAGATTACTCAATGCATTTGCCCACTTTTCTGTTTGTGAATCATATGTGAATCATTTCTGACTCCTAATGATGTGTTCATAACCATTCACCCACATGGATTATAGAACAAATCTCAGCCTAGGGGAACTTTGCAAAGTATTCACTTTTTACTACTAATTATCCAGTGTGAATGCAGTAGTTCATTTAAGTCACATGGCATCAGTTATGCTTCATCTTTGAATCATGTAATCTTTTTTTTTTTAAAGCAGGAGGATAGTGACTAATACAAGTAGAACTTAAGGGACAAGTAAACATTCAGGACACACATAAAATCTGTGCTATGAATAATAAATCAACCGTTATACAGATATTTGAGGAAAAAAAAAAAACAACAAAACAAAAAGGGCTGAACAAGAATATGTCATTAACTTTTTTGGGAGGGGAGCTATTCTGCCAGCCCTAGGCATAATATCAGCTACTACGATGAGAACTGTAATGAGAGGTTATTTCTTTCTTTACTGACAGGTACCAGCAGTGCAGAAGTAAAGGAAAATCGAAACATTGGCAACCTGGAGGATCATCCGATATCATCTAATGAGAGGGCAAGAGGGGGAACACCTAGCAGTAAGAGAAAAAGACCCTTAGAGGAAGGCAATAATGGCCATTTCTGCAAACTCCAGCTCATCTGGAAGAAAGTCTCATGGTCAGTGACGCCAAAGAATGCTCTGGTTCAGCTACATGAACTAAAACCAGGTTTACAATATAAAATGGTTTCCCAGACAGGTCCAGTGCATGCTCCAGTCTTTGCTGTTGCTGTGGAAGTAAATGGACTTACATTTGAAGGCACAGGGCCCACAAAAAAGAAAGCTAAAATGCGTGCTGCGGAGCTAGCTCTGAAGTCATTCGTTCAGTTTCCCAACGCCTGTCAAGCTCACTTTGCTATGGGGAACTGCATCAACCCATCCACAGACTTTACTTCTGATCAGGCAGATTTTCCAGATACTCTGTTCAAGGAGTTTGAACCATCTACACACAGTGAGGACTTTTCAGTCTATAACCCCGTTAATAATGAATTGCTTTCCACTGCTTATCGACACGGGCGCTTACTCTGCCATACGCTGGACTTAATGGGCCACAGTAAGCAAAACAAGCACAAGATGGCATCCAAAGCAGAGAGTGAGAAGAACCCGGTGATGCTGCTAAATGAGCTGCGGTCAGGCCTGCGGTACGTCTGCCTGTCGGAGACAGTGGAGAAACAGCACATCAAGAGTTTTGTGATGGCGGTACGAGTGGACGGGAGAACATTTGAAGGCTCAGGACGTAGCAAGAAGCTGGCCAAGGGTCAAGCAGCACAGGCAGCCCTGCAGGCCCTTTTTAACATTCGGCTGCCCAGCCACATTCCCAGCAGGAGTAAATGTCACCATTTGCCACAGGTGAGAACTCCTGGGTAGCAATCACCACGTTGGAGGAGCTCTTTGATGAATGGCATTAGCATTGCTGTAGCTGTTTTCTACCAGGTAGTTCCTGTAATGTTATAGCAAGTGCCATGCCACAAAATAGTTCTTGTCTCGTACAAAGAGCCAGATGCCACCAGCAAAACCATATCCTGAAGTCATTGGGTACAATTTGCAACCTTTTCCATAGGAAGAATAGATGAGAAAGCAAAATGTAGGGGGAAATGCCAACATTTCAGCTCACTAGAGAGAATGATAACATTGACACAAGCAGAAAAAATAGGTCATTCTGTAGTACTGCATCTTTTTTGACTGAAAGGAGCCCATAAATGAAGGGATGCCCCATATCCTCCTTTCAAGAGTTATTTTTTAATGAGGCAAGTGCTGTTCAAAGGAGACAGCAATGCCAAAGAATGTGCCTGTGTCAAAGCAGTCTCCAGACAATTCTACTACTGGAAAAGTTAAGGATTTTTGTTTATTATAGCCTCACTTTTTGGGTTGGGTTTTGGTCTCTTTGTTTCCAAGTATGGCTCCAACAGCACAGGAGTTTTAGTGAAAGCTCTGAATTTTCCCTGTAACAAATGAAGTGATTACTGCTGTATTCATACAGAAAATATAGATCTGAGGTACATACTTAGCACATCAAAATTTCATAGTTTGTGATATGCCAAAGGCTATCTTATCATTAGGCAGACTCATGTCAATTTTCTAAGTTCAAAGGAAGCCATGATTTGCAGACATTGGGAAATGTTACATGATTTTAAGTAATTCCTTGATTTGTTTGCACTATCATAAAAGGTTTGATCCACCAGAACCAGGATGTGATCTACCGCTACAAGGCTCCTTTTATGAAGGGAGCTCTTAATGTCCAGGATTTAATGCAAAGCACTGGGAGCGCTAAGAGTCATTCTCCTGCTGGCTTGCTGTGAGACCCCAGGCAAGCCATTTAAATACAATATGCCTGTAATAAAAATGAGCATATTATATGAAAGAACACTTCAAGATCCTTAAGTAGTGTGTAAATGCAAATTATTAGCAATTCTCATTAACATTAGTAAAGATATCCATTAGCTGTTCAAGGAGTTTGATAGAGGAGGAATCTTTAGGTGACATGATTGCCTGCAGGACACAGGAATTATATTTGGTGACCTACAAGTTTCCTTCCTACATTTCCAAAAAGGAAACATGAGAAATGTAAGAAATTCTAAAATACATCATAATCCTCCACCTCTTCCATTTAATTCTGCTTTGTAACGTCCATGAAGCAAGGGGATAATAACATAATTCAGTAATAGAAGTGATTTTCACGGAGTGCTTTGCAGGCATTTTGGAAGCCTTTGCCAACCTGGCAGTTCCATCCTCTCCAGTACAGGTAGCTTTAAATGAGAAATGTATGCTGCTTCCCCCTCAAATTAATTCTGGTAAAAAGTAGTTTGCTTAAATGAACATGCCTATGGAAACCTAGCACTTAGATATAAAGAGGAATCACTAGTCCTGTCCTGTTGGCTGCTTTGCTGCTCCTAGTGAATTTTGCTGGGTGGATCAGCAGGTAAATACCATGTATTCATCAACTGATGGTTTGTCATGTTCTGAAACTGCACCACAAGAATCTTTACTTCAGTTCTTGAGCTGTCTAACATATTTATTCCCTGATTTCTTGGCTTCACAGTCATCTTCTGCTTAAATATCACATCTTAGCTGGGTCTCCAACTGTTCACTAGGCAACACATTCTTCAGTGTGTATTCTCTTTTTAATGGCCTTTTCACTTTTCTGCAGATTTCTAGACTCCTTATCTTCTTCTCCTCACTGTTCTGAAGGTATAAATGTCAGTGAAAAGGTGTCACTGAACTTCCTCTGTCAGCATTTTTTGAGTGGTTATGTATTGTCCAGCTGAAAGATTACTCAGGCATTCAGCACATTAATTGAGAGAAAAGCCTTAACACTGATTTCTGGTGACCTCCTTACTAGCTGTTTTCATCAACAGACATAGCAGCTGTGACAGAAAACCTGTGTCATGTGTTATTGAAGTCATACCCCAACTTCCACTAAAACCAACAGACATATTTCAACTGACTTCAGCTGGGCTATAGTTTAAGCATTAAATCCAGAAGCATCTTTACTTGTTCTCTACATTATGCATATCTCATGAAGTGACAGTCTTTGCTCACTGCTTCAGCCAGCCCATTGGGCTGTTTGGTCAGCCAAAGCAGTGGTAGCTGTACTGGGGAGAATGTTGTTCTCATTGAGCTGTGGTCAGAGCCAGCTTCTCCCAAAGCTGTTTCAGCTTGTCTCCCTCATCTTCTGTGAACCACATTTTCAAGGACACATTTCAAGGTAACTTTTCAAAGCTATTCCTAATTTGGAGGCTCAGCTTGTTTTGTGTCCAGAAGTGTTTAAAAGCAGCAGAGAACCCTGAAACCCAAATAGCTTAGGCACAGAATTTGAAATATTGGAGGAATGTTGTGTATGTGAGTTCTTCACAGAATATGGAGCAACTGTTGTCCTAGCCAATCATTCAGTCTTCTCATGTGCTTTGTTCTATTTGTTAGGATATCAGTAGGGGCAGGCAAACAAGATCAGGTGTAACAGTTTCACCTATACTTTGACTATTTTGTAGAATCCAGGAGTATGTTTATCTCTGTGGTTACCCTTTACAAAGAGTATTCCAAACTTTGCATGTCTCTGGTCCTATTCCCCTTGCTGTTATCAGTGGTGTTAGGACTGGAAACAGGAAAAGCCAAAAATCTTGTGATACTGGTAGTCGAGTTGTGCTGAACTTTTGGATTTCACAATGTCCAGGAAAGTGTCAAGAAAGTTCAGATGTCTTTATGAGCTGTGCCTTCCGACCATTGACATTTTTGCCTTTCTCATCAGGGCTCTCAGGCATCCCTCTGCCTAGGCCTCAGGCATGCCCTCGGTCTGACAGCCACTTCTCCTGCTGACCAAGGGAAATTCAATGTAAAACGTCAAAAAAAGCACCATATCCTCCAGTCTGAGCAATTTACAAAACTGGTGCTTTCTTAAAATAACATCGCTGTGCCTCTGATTTTCTTCCCTGTGATTGTTCCGCAAGGCGTTTGGGCTGACTGCAACGCTATATCCCCAAAATAAACAAAAGTGTATCACACTTTACACCAGGAAAAAAATAGAATCTCATAATTTAAAGCCAAAATAATTGAGATTGTGTCTTCTTTACCACCATCAACAGCTGTTCTATGAGACTGAAGTGCAAGATAAATGATAACGATGGTCTGAGTCTGGGTGCACCATGTTGATCAGAGTAGGCAAGACATGAGCCTAGAGGCCTACTAAACTAATGGTAGAAATAAAGTGAGTCAGGAGAATGGAAATTACGACACATAACTGTGTGCCTTCTCACTAAATATTGCTCCTTGTTTCCTAGCATACTTGGTCCATCAAATAATAAGCAATTTTTTCAATTATCAGTTTTATGGAAGTCTAATGAATGTTTCTGCCCACCTTGGGAGCAATGTCTCCTATACTCCAAAATAGGAGACAACATCAAAGGGTGCTGATCTAACCAGACCTAATGAGTCTGCACTGGTAGAAATAAATCTACACACTCCCAGGCTTCCCAAGTGCAGTGTGCTCATTTCAGGATGTGAAGGTGACCTCTGACTGCATCTGACCAGTTTACAGATTGTTTTTCTAATCCTGTAGTCCTTCTAATCTATCTCACTAAGTCTTAACAACATTCTTACTGCTGTAGAGCAAACCCATTAATTAATATTGCCATAACAAATTAGTAATAGAGGGGTGCTTGGATTTCAAGCAGACCTAAATTAGAAGAGAATAGGTGTGAAAATCACATTCAGTCTGCTTTGAAATCGCTTAATGCTGCTGTTGCTGGGTCACATCCAGAGCCTCCAGAGCAGTAGCCGTCAATTTATTTGTTTGTTTAAATGAAACCTCATTGTGGTTTGTGTGTATATCATGAAAAAGAACTTTTTTTTTTCTTCTTTGGCAAATAAAGCTTGAATCCAGGTAAATTCCTATTTGCCAAAAGCTTCATTTACAGATCAAAACAACCTCAGGATCCCTGTTGCAAAGATGCTTTACCCTAAACAGGTCGGGGATTCAAGCCAGGTAACTTCAGTGTCACCTTGGTGAGCAGTGTCGTTAGAAGAGCAACTATGTCAGGGAAAGCCCTGTGCCACACGCTTTCACCCACTTCCCTCCAGAAACCTGTTTCTCTGTGCTGCAAAACTGCTTCATTTTCACACAGTCAATTGTCCCTGCCTTATTCAAGTTATTTCTCTCCATGTCCTCATTTGCCACCTTCTCTGCAACCATGCTCTCTCTTCCTGTGTCTCTATTAATATGGGGTTGAGGTTGGCAGTGATAGATTTGACTCTGGTGTGAAGAGGGACAGCACACAAAGCTGGTGTTGAGCTTTGAGAAGCTGTTCCAGCCTGTGTCTGTGAAGAGCTTTGTCTGGTCCACTGATGAGGTACATTTTCTTTATAACCGCCCCTGTTTTCTCCTTCACAAAGAGAAACAGCTGATATGTGTGTATGTTTCTCTGACAGTGGGAAACGAGAAAGGGAAATGTTGGGGAACAGAGAGATGCCTCTGCAATGCAAATAATGTTTGATTTTCAGCCACCTATTTCTGACTTTGTAGGTGGGGAAAGTTGTTTCTTATAGTCAGAGCAATGGGTAGTAGAGACATTTATAGGATTACAGTTTGTTAAGCAAAACAACGGCAAAAGAACCAATTTAGAAACACAGCATTAGTACACCAGATACTGCTGTTATTATCTTGGTTGTTAATAAGATTGCAGTCACTTTTAGGCTCACAGTTGAGAAACCAGGACCACCCTCTTACCCCTCATACAAGTCCAACATAAAAGATGATTAATGCCCCAGAGAGATTACAGTTTGAGTCTTAGATGAAGAAATTACCATGTTTTAATGCTTATAATCCATGCAAGATCAAAGGGAGATGCAGAAGGGCT